ACTTCCTGTATCTGGGCTTTTGTGTTTTGAGAAATTTTTTCTCTCTTTTCTTTTTCGAATTGGATCTCTGAAGTTTGCTGATTGAATGTTCTGAATCTGTGCATTGAATTTTTGTGCTTGTCTGTTGATCGTTGTAGATTTCGCTCTTCCCCTTTGAAATCCTCTCGAAATCCCTGTTCCTTTTCTTCAAAATAGCCCCTTTCGTGGAACCCTAATTTTTAAAACCTTCTACTCCTACCTTTCTCCTTTTTGCCAAAATTCCTCTTTTTGATATTGTTCCTCTCTACTTTTGTTTTTAGATCCTGCTACCTCGACCTCCTCTTCTGGTTCAGTTGAGATCTTGCCTTCCGCACTTGAAGCCGTTCCTCTCTCGATTCTTCGCCCCGGTGATACTGTTCCTACCCGTGTTTTCACAGCTCGTGTTGCTTCCTCCAACTCCGGCGACACCATGGATAACATTTCCCTCCGCAGCCGTCGACCTCCTCTTGGTGCGCTAGATGATCCAGAGGAGGACGAGGTTATTTCTTCACAGCCAACTGTTCCTCCCCCTTCAAATTCTCCCCCTAAACAGTCCTCGACCAAAAAACTTTCCAAGCGCTCATCTTCTACTACCCTTTCTCATCCCTGGTTTAACCCTGACAAAATCGGCCAACCTCTTGGTTGGGCATTCATTAGATCTTCCCCTTCCGACCTGTATGATCATCCTCCGCGAGACTGTTACCCTTTCTTCGAGGTCCAGTTTAAGCTCGGGTTACATTTTCCTTTGAACCGTGATATAATCCGTATCTGCGAGTGGTTCTCGCTTCCCTTGCATCAACTTTCTCCTAACGCCATCCGTTTCATCACCACTTTCATCATCCTTTGTCATATCCGTCTAGGTCGATTCGACCTAGACTTCTTCCATTATTGTTACTGCCCCTCTAAACTGGGCTGGGGTCTCTACTTGAAAAGCTGCAATGGTGCGCACTTCATTAATGACATCCCCTCCAACCTTCCCAAGTGGAGCGATAAGTTCATTTTCATTCGACCTGTTTACCTTGGCCTTCCGTCCCTTGGGTCAAGGATGTTTCGAAAGAGGCAGCCTCG